GGGGAGTCTGCTAGAGATTCTCCTTCTCCCTCTGCCCCTCCCTGCACTTGCTGTCTCTCCCTCTCTAAAATAAATATATAAATCTTTTAAAAATGCCACTGAATTGTTCACTTTAAAATTGGTATAATGGTAAGTTTTATGTTATGCATATTGTACAATTTCAAAAATCAAAATAACAAGGAAACCATTTGCAAATATGTGTGTATGTGTGTAGACACTCAGCAAATAAATGTCGGTAATACATATTAACCATAAATTACAAGAAAAACATTAGATTCAAATAGATTGATGGGCATGTTATATGAACAAGCCATTCACAAGAAAATATATAAATTGTAAGCAAAACTGGAGAACTGTTTATCTTCTGTAATAACTGACAAAATTAGAGTCGCAAAAAATCCTTAGGTATCATTTTATACCTACTAAATTAACAAGCGTAAGAAGGAAGAAAGGGGGGCACCTGGGTGGCTCAGTGGTTTAGGCTCAGTCATCTGCCTTTGGCTCAGGTCATGATCCCAGAGTCCTGGGATCAAGCCCCCTGTCAGGCTCCCTGCTCAGCAGACAGCCTGCTCCTCTCTCTCTTTCTGCCCCTCCCTGCCCCCCACTTGTGCTCTCTCTCAAATAAATAAAATCTTTAAAAAAAAAAAAAAGGACTGAGGGAAGAAGAAGGGAAAAGGGATGGCAAGGAGGGATGAAAGGAGGGAAAAGGAAATCAGTAGCTATGGTGAGACTGAGACTGAATGGAATCCATTTCTCCTATTTCCGTTCCTTCTCTGAAAATAGAAATAATACCTGTCTGTGGGAGAAGTAGCTGGCTGCCTTCCCAGTAACATCTTCCTCTGTACCCTACTGATGAGAGTGGCCACCCAGAGGCAGGTGGAGGCTGGGGGCTTCTGAGAAGGCCTTTTGCCCCTACCCCTTTCTACTGTTCAGTGGCTGGTGCTTCATCAGACATCTTGGGTCATGATGCAAATATGGAAACTTTGGGCCAAGTCTGGCAGGGCATAAGCGAGGAAAAGCCTGGAACCTCTCCTACAGCTGTAGACCACTTACCTTCAGATATCTACTTGGGAAAAAATTAAGCTCTCTGTTCAAGATGCTGTTATTTCTTTCTGGTTTCTGGTCCTTGAAGTTGTGAACAATTTTTTTTTTTTTTTAGGCTAGTCAAGTGTAGCAGTGGGAAAGAAGGAACAAAGAAATCTGCAGTTGGCTGTGATCAATGCACACACCACTTCACTCAGACCAGCCAACTGTGTGTAATTCTTAACTGATAAGCTTCCTTCTTAAGTCTGTTACAAGGATTAAATGTGATGATGTTTGTGTACTATGGCACAGTGCCCATTGCAAAATAAGCAGCCATGGGAGTTCTGTTTCTCATCTTTGAATAAAGGTATCAAATAAATGTCTAAAATTTCACTGTAATCACAAATCAAATACACACAGGGTTAAGGTTTGAAGTATTTTCAGATTATCAAATGTGTATCTCTCCAAAAGCATTTACTGCTAATATTCTGCTAACATTAGAACATACTGGGCTCAAATGAAAAACTACCAAAGTGGAAAAAAAAAAAAAAAGCTACTTATTTTCTGAAGTAGATTGACTTTATTCCAAGGGTAGACTTAAGCAGTGTTAGGAAGCCATCACATGACCGTTGAAACATAAGATCTCAAAACTTCTCCAAACAGATATATCTACACCGATACCATCCAAATCAGTCACTTCATCTTACTTAGGAAAGGCACAACAAAATCAATACCTTTTACCGAAGACATTACTTTTTTTTTTTTTTTTTTTGTAGGCTCCACACTTGGGAGTCCAACATGGGGCTCAAACTCACAACCTTTAGCTGAGCGTGACAGACGTTTAACCAACTGAGCCACCCAGGTGCCCTTGTTCTGCATTGCTTTAAATGGTAAAATCAGTATGTCTGACAGAAAAGGAAAAAACCTTCCAAACTCCAGTTTGGAATGGCCTAGTAGGTATTGGGGTAGGGTGGGTGTGCAGGAAAGGGGCATCAGTGATGTGTGACTCACTCAAACTCCACTCAGAGGAGCAAGCCTGGCCCTCATCCAGCCACTGAAACAGTGTTCCTGGTCCCAGTTGTAACACTGATCTAAGCCCAGCACGGGATGGAAGAAACGAATACATACATTACCTGTAGCAGAGAAAGCTCCCATTCCTGCCCTGTCAGGTCATTACAGGATCTTCAACAACAAAATGGACACGTTTTTGGTGGAACGTGTTGGGTGGAGGGCCACAGAGGTGTTGATAGGAGATATATCAGGATTTGGGCATTCGCATCTGTGCATTATGAATGAGCTTACATTCCAAGTCACTAAGAAGACATTCAAACATTAACTCAAAGTTAATGTGCAGGGAGTATATTCTCAGTATTTTCTAGAGTTTCAGCCAAAAGTTTCATAAAGAAAAAGTTTTCATTAAAAAGAGGACAGGCGTGCTGGGAGGCTCAATCAGGTAAGCATCCAACTCTTGGTTTTGGTTCAGGTCATGATCTCACAGTCATGGGATTAAGCCCCATGTCAGCCTCTGTGCTCAGCATGGAGTCTGCTTCAGATTCTCTCTCCCATTTACTCTCTCTCTCAAATAAATAAATGACTATCTTAAAAAAAAAAAAAAAAACAGAAACAAAAAGGGGACAAAATGTTCCATAGGGATGAGAAACATTTCAGATGGAGTGCTGGAAAAGCTGGGTTAGCATCTTCTGTTGTCTCCCTAAACCATTCTAAATCTCTTCTTAGGAAGAGGATGGATAGATGGTGGATGAATAATCAGTAAGACCAACTCAAGAAAAGAAGGAATAGCATGGGGGAAGAATGTTTCCCACCTCTCATCATCAGTTCCTTAAAAATTACAATGAGAATGTAACCCGGGACCAAGCTTCAAAGAATCTGTAAGAACTGACAAACTGAGGATCTACTCTGAAATTCAAAAGGCTCACATGGCATTCAAGCTTCATTAAAACAGATTGTAAGGCACTGATGGGCTTTTAATGCTATTGCATTTTCCTATACTAAATTTTTTAGCCAGAAATAATTGAGCCACAGTAGAGCTTTTTAAAAGTAAACATGCTTGCGTGTGTGTGACGCAATTTGTTTTGCAATATCATCAGTAAGAGTGAAATTTTCATACTCCATGTGACTTCAGCCAAGTACAACTGGTCAAACCCCTACCTCCCACCAACTCCAAAGCAGAAGTAAATCTAGATCCATGTTGCCTATCAGAGTTTCTTACCTCTGTATATTCCTTGGAAAGCTTTCCAGTTTCAGGTTCTTTTGCTCACACAGCAGTTAGATCCCTGTTGGCCCCTGGAGGGGCTTCTGGACTAACCAGATCAAGAAGCCCAGCCCCCAGGTCTTCTCCTCCCCTTTTGGCTCAGTTCTGTGAACAGAATTTCTTAAAGAGCAATCGTGCATCCTGCACAAGTGAGTGACATCCAGGTAACACCCCCTTTCCTGTAGCTCTTTACCCAATCCCTTTTTAAAGGGGAAATTACATCTCTCATTGAGATGGAAGGATTCCAAAACTTAGAGAAAACTAGCAGTTCTTAGGAAGACTATGGAGACTCCTGGAAGAGAAGGGGTCTAAGCAAGGGGTAGAAGGAAGCTTTGCCCTTTCAAATCTTTTCTCAAAGCCATCACTGCTTAGAATTAAAGGGCAAAAAAGCTGGTGACCTGGCTAAGCACAGCATATTTTTAGGTAGTGAGAAGGGCAGTGATGAGCTGAGAATCTAGAAACTAACTGCCCAGTGACTTGGCTTCTCCAGACATAAACACTTACATGTTGTTTCTGACTGTTCTTCCCTTCAGGCCATGTCACTGGCTGAGCACCTGGTCCATGCCCGGTATCTGACACTCACCTTCCACAACCCAGAGGGGTGGAGATCACTATCCCCACTTCCTACCTGAGGATACATGAGCTATCAACGATCATTCTTAGATCCACTTGCTTTAATCCCTGAACATTTGTTGAGCATCTCATTCATTGTGCCTTAAATTGTGCTAGACAATTCATGACATTGACAAAGAAGGTGGCATGGAAGCTTTCTTGGATGTGAGCAATGACAGTTCTGTGAGCACCAGTCAATCCCACTATGTGGAGGGGCAGGAGGAAGCTAAAAAAAAAATAGAGATGTGTCCAAAAGGTAAGTTTGGATTTGGTCAGATATTCTACAATCTTTAGAACAAGATATTCTGTAGAAAGTGCCCTGTGGGGCGTCTGGCTAGTGCAGTCATAAGAGCATGTGTCTCTAGATCATGTGGTCAGGAGTACGATTCCCATGTTGAGGGTAGAGTCTACCTTAAAAAAATTTTAATATATATATATATATTTTTAAAGTACCCTGTAAACTGTAAAACGCTGTACCAATGTTAACAATGATTAATTCTACTGGTATAGTTACCATGAAGACTGTGATTAACTTGGATAATGGTCACTCAGGCTAAATAGTTGATGACATATGTATTTCTCTATACCTGGCTCTTAGGACTTTGCCAATCCAGGAGTGATAGAAATGGGTTCAGGGCCAACAGATCCAGAGAGTGTCAGGGAAGACTGTCTGGCGGCCTCCTTTCTGGCAAGCTGTTTTCCAGAACTTTCTCAAACCTAAAATCTTTTTCTCCAGTTCCTGCAGCATAATGTGTATCCAGCAAACAGACGCTGATGATGTCATGTTGTCACACTTCATTCCACAGGATTTAACAATGCAGACAGCCACACCGGGCCCGCCCTCACGTCCACACAGAGAACATTACCCTTGCTTTCCCACCTGCAGTAAAAATTCATGAGAAAGTTCCTAATCCTATGAAGCTTAGCCCCAGGCAAAAAGAAAAGGTATCTGAGGAACCAGGAAATGAAAGAATAAAATAAACATAATCCTCTGGAATTAGTTTGTGTAACCCTATTGTTTAGCTTTGGCCTGTATTTATCAATACTAAATTTTATGGAATAATTTTGAACAAAGACAACTTAAAGAACAAGGGAATGGCCCAGAATATAATATTTATAATATTGCAAGAAAACATCAGTGTGGCCCTCCCCGTTTCTCAATCATTTTAATGTTTGACGATTATGACCCAACTTGAGGTCGGTTCCCCTATAACATGGTTAGGTTGTATCAAATCCCAAGGCTTTTAAGTAAAATATACATGGCTTCCCGCCTCCAGGTAGCCAAGAACAGTCATCCCATTGACTGCCTTGCACAGGCTGACGTTGAAGACAAGGCTGAACTTCTTTGGCCGCCGAGAGGAGATGGCCAGCGCCGGACCTGCAACTACTCCTCTGCTGTCCCATCCAGGATGTATTTAAAGGAGAAAGGAGCAAACTTGTAACCAGCCCCGACGTAGAACTTGTTCTGGAACTCCACCCTTGGAGGGGAGGGGGCAAGAAAAAGCAAAATTAAACACATAAGCAAGAGGCTGGGGTCAGGAAGCTACACCAGAAGGCACCCAGGCTGGTGGCCACCACAGGGATCATCTGGAGCTTTTTAAAACACTTCCCTTGCCCCTCACACACTACTTCGTCCAGGCCTCTGCCACCCTGCTCCGAGACTGTGAAGAACAACCCTCCCCACAGCTCCCACCACAAAGCTACCCCCACCTGCAGCCTTGTCTCAAGAGCCAGCGAGGGAAAAATGCTTCCCGAGGTCATACGTGGTGTGTCTTCTCCATCCTGATCTTTTTTCTTTTCCATCCTGATCTTAATCACGGGGCTCATGCTACTGCAAGATACCCAGAACCTTAACCTAACATTCTTCTAACTTCCATCAGACACCACGTATGATCTTTTATGCTTGATCATGTTCCAGAGTTCATTTCCTTAATGACAAGGGGAGAGGTGATGTCATAAACTGAGGTGGGGTGCTGTGATTCTCTCCATTCAATACACGGAGTCTAAAAACTTGTCTTAATGAACAGTGGGCAACAAGGGAGGTAGAAACACCAATGAAAGCTGAAGATGGTCTGTGGGCACGTGCACACACACACACACACACACACACACTCAAGATTCTTGGCTAAGATATGACTTGGAAGAAAAACAGAAGCTTCAGCAAATGTCTTTATATTTGTAAACTTAGTGATGGCTGATGGTCTCTGGACACATGTGTGAATGTCAAGGGCCTCCTGTGAGCACCATCCTCCTTCCAGGTACCCTCCTTCTGTTTCCACTTTGTAGAGATCAGTAGTCTGTACTACTGGTGTAATTCCTGCACTCAGCAACAAGGGCCAAATGTCCCAGATTCCTTCAGTGTGCCTCTGTGAGCCTATTTCAGATCTGTCATCTTACCAACACTTGGAGGTGCCCCTCATCTTGAAGCCAGTTGTAATACAACAAACGAATATTTAAAAGAGAATGAGTACATGGGGAACTAACATTGATTATAGGGCAGGCATTATATACATATACACACACCTATGCATGTGCACACACATGCATACACGTGTGCATGCCTGTGCAGGAGCACACATGTGCACATGAATGGAAACACATGTGCATACCTGTGCAGGAGCACACATGTGCACACACATATACATGTGTATGCACACACACACAAATGCACATATATCATCATGTAATATTACAACAACAGGTGACTACACTTGGTCAAGACCTGCAGCCAGCTGGCTGGTCCTGACTCTCACTAGAGCATATGGAGCCTCTACTACAGTAGTGTGGCCATGCTCACCAGTGCAGTCGCAGGGCATGAAGGAACGCAGAGAGGCCCTCCATGATCAGAAGGATGGCTACTGTCAGAACGGCAAATATGGTAAAAATGACAAAGACCCCAATGAGTCCTCCCCAGCCTCGCAGGCGAAGGCCGATATTCATCACCATGGTCCAGAGCACCTCAGACAGTTCTGTAAGAGCAAAAGAAACATTCTCAACCACAGGGTTTATCTGGCAAGTGCAGCTTTTCTCCATACTATATTCGTGGGTCGCCACAGCCTAGAATCCCAAAACTCCATGCTCAGGTGGAAAACTCAAGCACGTGTGCCCTAGGGCACCTGTATGAGATCGTCTATGGCAGCTTTGCTCACAAAGGAAGAATTTCTGTCATGATGACAAACATATGGTGGCATGTTACTCACTAATGAAAGTGAGCAACCTATAGCTACCAGTAGCAATATGAATAAATCCAAGAAACATGTTACACCACAGAAGCAAAACAAAAAGAATACATATGATATGTTATGTACTGAATTTTGTATTTTCTCCACTCCTCAAATTCATATATTGAAGCCCTACCTACCAAAGTGATGGTATTTGGAGAGGAGGTCTTTAGGAGGTGACTAGGATTTGATGAGGTCATAAGGGTGGGGGCCCTCATGATGGTATTGGCGCCCTTACAAGAAGAGACACTAGAGGGCTTGTTTGCACTCTCCCTTCCACGGAGATATATCATTACATTTTTGAGTTGAGACTTGAGGTCCCCCAACCAAGAGGTCACATTGGCATGACCCCAAGTGATAAAGGTGTGTCACTTGCAAGTGGTCACTGGGACACGATGGGACACAGACACTTGGGAGCACAAAGAGAAGTACCTGTGTCTGTACTGTGCCCCCTGAGCTCTGGCTTTCTCCTGGAGTGACGCAGGGTCCTTCATGGTGGGAACAGCTTTACCCCATCTACTTATACCCCTACCCACTCCTCTGTGCTCTGAGTCAATATGGATTCTTTGCCTCTATCTTTACTAAATTATCGACATAAAAGCTGAAAGCAATTTGAACTGTACTGTGCTAAGGATCTCATGTGGTCTCTCTTCCCCCCTGGCCCTTAGATATGGCAAAATCCTAGTTTCCCCAAGAGCTGTTTTCCTCTGCTCTAGGTCCAATGGGCAGAGGTCTAATAGTCATACCATCTACTTTCACAGGGCCTTTCAGTGAAGTCTTCTCATTCACAGTAGCTCATGGAAGCCTCACTCCACACCTGTGGGAATCCAGGTGTGTAATTTCTAATGCTTCACTCTCACCTCCTCTTTGTACCCTATCTTGGTGACTTTTAAAGCACATGTCCAAATCCAGCCTCCCTCAAATTAGGTCTTGGCATGGCACTGATGAACACAGAAGTGCGAGAGTAGTAAATTGTTTTAAGCTGCTGACATCTGGGGGGTGGTTGTTAGAGCAGCGCATACTAGCCCAGCCTGACTAACACAGCAGGCTAGTTACCAGAACAACACAGGAAAGCCACGGCATATACAGGTTAAGCTGCTAAGTTACTGAGCTAAAACTGGTAGAATGGAAACTAGAATAGAATCAGTATTTGTTGTCACTCTACCAAACTACCTCTTCAAGCAAGTTTGTTAGCATGAAGCAGAAGGTATTCATGCAAACTATACGTCTCAGGAAGTTCCAGAAAGATCCAATGGGTGGACTGTGCCAGGCAACTGGGAGCCATATGGATTATCTGGAGTCAAATTACTCCCTCAATGGTCATGGGCTGGCCAGAGGAGACCCTCCTGTCCTATCTAGTTGTGACCTGAACCCTCCAAACCACATCTGAGATCAGAGCTAAAGGCTGTTATCAACACCACTGACCACACGAAGCTCAGAGTTCCACTTTGGGTCCCTGGCTAAGCACCTCACATGAATGCATGTCAGTGCCCAAGTAAACACATGCAGGTGCTCATGTGCAGATACTTACAGGCTGGATGTATGCATCTAAGCACCCGTGTGCATGCAGAAGAGTGTACGTGTGTATGCGTGGAGTTGCCACAAGAAAATGAACACAGCCTGAGCAGTGAAGACGAATGGTGAGCACTTGCCTTTCTGCTATTAATCAACAAGCAATCTCACTTTCATTGCTTTATTTTCTACCCATCAAGTACCTACTTTGGCCTGGTAAGCACTTGCCTTTCTGCTATTAATCAACAAGTAATCTCACTTTCATTTTTATTTTCTACCCATCAAGTACCTACTTTGGCCTGGTTTCTCTGTTCCACGCCTTGTGATCAGTGCTGGGAACACAGGGATAGAAGACAGGGACCTTGCTTTCCAGGAGCTCAGTCTAGTAGGGAGACAGGCTAATCATAACAGAATGCAATCAGAACCCAGAGAAAGGAATCCTTCACATGGCGGTCCAGGGAGGAAGATTCCCAGGGTAGGCACAATCTGTGTGAGTCCTAAAGGAGAATTAGATACCAGGTGGGGAGAAAATTAAAGAAGCGAGGAATAGGGGAACCTGGGTGGCTCAGTTAGTTAAGCATGTGACTCTTGATCTCAGAGTCATGGGTTCAACCCCCAAGTTGGGCACCATGCTAGGCATGGAGCCTACTTAAAAAAGAGGGGGGTGGAGAGGAATATTTCAGACCAGGAGACTATAGGGTAAACACACAGAGGGGCCCAGAGAGCATGGCAGCTCCAGGAGCCTTGGTGCAGGTCCTTGTGGTCACTGCTTATGACTGGGGCTGCTGGGGCACTGAGGGCATTACCAATGGACAAGACCAAAGAAGTGGGCAGAGATAAAGAGAGATATTACAAAATCGTTTGGAGAATCAGGATTCCAGACTTAAGTAAACTCTGGGGATGGAATCATTTTCAAAATTGGATTACTGGGCCTAACTTGACCCTAGATGGCTGTGAATTCATTGAGGTGGTGAGCACCGCCCCCCGCCCCCAAGTGGGTCAGCTCAATCGGCAGCCCATTTCCTCCCAGTGTTCACAGTTAAGACAGGCTTCCTCTCAAAGTGAATCCCCCAAAGATGGCCATATTTTAATCCTAAGAACCCAAGAAAATGCTATATGGCAAAAGGAATTAAGAATGGATTCAGCAGACAGGATTAACTGAAGGAATGCTGAGATAAAGAGATTATCCTGGATTATCCAAGGTAACCGCAAGGGTCCTTAGAAGGGGAAGGCAGGGCAGTCAGAGCCAGAGAAACTGGAGACATGAGGCCTGAAGCAGGTGTCAGAGCAATGAGCCTAAGAACCAAGAAATGCAAGAAGCCTCTAGAAACTAGAAATGGCAAGGAAATGGACTTTCCCCTAGAGCTTCTAGAAGGAACCCAGTCCTGCTGACATCTTGGTTCTAGGACTCCAGAGCTATAATATAGTAAATTGTTTTACGCTGCTAAGTTTGTGGCAATTCTTTACAGCAGCCATAGGAAACTGATACAGAGAGTAACCACTCTAGGAATATAAAATCAGACCTACTGGAAAAGTCACTTCTTCCTACGAACGAACAGCCAGAAATAACCCAAGAAGGCAAGTACTTTGATTCTGTTTCCCAGGGGGGATCTGATTGTGACCCTGAGGGCCACTCACTCACGTGCATGAGCCAGGCTGAGGGCCCAGAGCCGGAGGTAAGAGGCTGTGTTTGAAATGCAGCCCAGGCAATACTCGATGGTGTGGATGGCTTGATGCACAAAGACGTCTCCAAAATTGAACTGAAAGAGAGAGGTTGTGGGGTTTTTTATTCTAATTTCATTAAGTATTCCCTATATGAAAGGTATTACTAATGATACACAGATGAATAAAACATGGCCTCCACCGTAAGTCACTTCCAGTTGAACTAGAGAAAGATAATATACTCGTAGGAAGAGAGTTAACAGCACAAAGTAGGAAACACAGTATGTGTGCAATAATGCTTCCCAGAAATAGTTGGAAAAAGTTCAAAGAAGAAGAGAGAACAGCTGGTAAGGCATCACAGGAGGTAGATGTGCACTGTGCCATGAAGGAGGGGGAGGCATCGGAAGTAAAAGCTAAGCAAGACCATTCCTGGTGAAGGAGATGACTCCTGGTAGGGAAAAGGCAGGAAATTGGGAACATCAGGAAAGTGAGTTCTGGGGTAGGGGTGGAGGAACAGTTTGGCAGAAGTGGGAGCTTGTCTGGTGAGGAGGGGAAAGGAGAGACCAGTTGTTGAAGTTTCAGGAAAGGACAGAGTTGACAAAAATAACCTGGAGTCAATGAGGAACCATAAAAAGGTATCTGAATAGAAAATGGGGGTGGGGGATAAAGAAGTATTGGGGGAAGATTAACCTGGTAGCAAAATGGCCCCCAAGGGCAAAGCCAATAACAAAAGAGCCTGTTGGTTGATTAGTTTACTAATCCAGGGATGGGGAGGAAGAAATGTGCTCTGCCACGGTGGGGGCAACAGTTTGGCTGGCACCAACCCAGCCCTCGAGTGGCTCAGTCTAGTGGGGACAATGTGCATGGAAAGCACAATAATCAAGAATCACAAGTACTGTGGGGACACAGAAGGGTCTTTCACCCAGTAGGGGCCAGAGTCATACAGGGCTCTGAGGCTCTTGAGTCTGAGGCACTGTTTTAGTATATGTGCTGCTGAAGCGAGCATAAGTCTGAGGCACTAAAGAACGGCATTGACAGAAATGGAAAATTGGAGGAGATTAGTTGACATATTCAGATATGTTGCATTTCAGGTCACAGCTGGCCATACAAGTAGAATCTCTCAGCACACAGTAGGAGAGGCAGACAGGCTAGAAGCAAAGTCAGGGCTGCAACTGGATACCTAGGACCTCACCTGTGGGAGGAGGGGTGGTGGGAGGAAGTAGACTGGGAAGATACACAAGGGAAAAAGCACAGAAAGAAGAGCTCCAAACATCTTCATTTGGAGGTGAGAAAGAAACAGATGATGTAAAGAAAAAGCCAAAAGACTGGGAGGAATCACACGGCTGTGGGCAAGGTCAGAGAGACACCCAGGAAGGAATGGGGGTGGTGGTCCGGTGGTCAACCACGTCAGGAGCCATGGAGAGAAGACAGGGATCTATGCCTCTGACATCTCCCATGGGAAGGAACTGTCTTTGTTATTCATGGTGATCCCCCTGGGACCACACCTGATAGTTTCTGTGGTTAGAGGGTTGTGACTTGGCCCCATGTGCTTCCAGCCCCATCTCTACGGAAGGGATGGAACACAACCACTGAATTGCACGCCTACGTAATGAAACTCCAATGAAACTTCGGACACTGGAGCTCAGGTGAGCTTCCTGGGCTGGCAATTCTGTGTGCATGTTGCCACATGTCGATGATGGGAGACTAATGCCTCCCTAAGGACACAAAATTCTGAAATTTGGAACCCTCCCTATGTCAGATTCCACACAGGTGCTCCTTCCTCTGGCTGCTTCTGATCTGTATACTTGTGCTACAATGAAACTCTAATTATAAGGATCGCACATTAGTGAATTCTGTAAGTCGTTCTACCAATTATTGGCCCTGATGGAATATGAGGGACCTTGAATTTGTAACTGACTGGTCTGAGGAGACGGTGGTCTTGGGGGGGTTCTGCAAACCTGCAGCTAGGGGCAGAAGTCTTAGGCGGACTTGACAGTCTTGAGAACTGTGCCCTTCACCCTGAGATTGGCCAACACCTGGTGGGGAGAGAGGTCAGAGGGGACAATGTAATCAAGCCTGTATTTGTTTTGCAATGGGAGACCCAGGCATGATGATGCTTGGGGGAAGGAACCTATGTGCGGCCCAAACGGTGGCAGCCAGTTCACTGCAGAAGCAGCAGGTGGAGTGACTGGGTAAATCCCGAGGGTAGGAGAACAGAGGAGAGAGGGTGTATGGGAGAGGCTGGGACAGAGTGAGGCAGATGATGTGCAGGCTGGATTCTAAAACATCCCAGCAAGTCGGACAGACAGTAATATTAATAGCCACTAACATGGGTTATTCTCTGTACCTGGAATCCTGTCGGAAAAATCTGATCCAGATTTTTCATTAATTCTAATTGGCCATCCATTAGTTTAAATGAGTGTATTTCTTTAAGTAATTCACACCACATATGGAGCTTCTTATAGCATCCCTCAGGCTTCACAGGAGCCCCATCCCCATCCCCACTCCAGGATTAGAACAGAACTCCAGTTAAAACCCCCAGCCAGTTCAGGCATCTGAGGCACTTCAGTGGTGGAATAAAAACAGCCACCTGCTTCATCTGGGAAAATGCAGCACATTCCTGATGGGGAGTGGCTGCCCTTGGACAGAAATGGGCAGGGAGGGGGAAGGGCACAGAACAATTCATGAATTCACAGGAGAGGCAGATAATGTTACAAAGATAGGTCAGCTAAGTCCCAGCAGAGCCCGGGTGGAGACAGGAAAACAAAGAGGGGATGGCGGCTGGGCAGGCTGGGCATGCTTCTGTCCGGGAGGCCGGCTGGGAAGAAATAACCCGCCTTTGACTTTAACAATAGGGCTAGAGTTGGGCCCAGCTCTCTTGGTTTGAGGGGCACTGATTGGACAGCACATAACAAACACAGCTGACTCCCGGGGCACGGTTCTGAGTCAAGGAGGTCTTGCTAACATCGAGGAGCTTCTATGCCAATTGATCTGAAGGCTGGTACTCACCCCACACTCACAGATACACCAGCACCTGGATTAAAATGTTAAAACACCCCTAGATTGGTTGGTGAATAGCTGTTTTTTTTTTTCTTTTTCCCCCAAAGATTTATTTATTTTAGGGTGAAGGAGAGGCAGAGGGAGAAGGAGAGAAGATATCATGACCCTGAGATCATGACCTGAGCTGAAATCAAGAGTTGGGACACCTGACTGAGCCCCTCAGGTGTCCCGAGTAGCCGTTGATCCTATAGGCTTTCCCCCCTCCCTTGCAACCTTCCCAACTTCCCTGGACTCAGCAACTACAGGATCAGGTCCTCCTGACCCTCCCAGCTCCACTGCCTAAATCCTTTCTGATGGGCTGGTGGCCACACCCTACTGGCCGTTAAATATTTGACAATCACCCTTGATGAGATCCCACATCTAGAATCTGTACACACTGGGGCATCTTTGTCAACTACTGAGTCCCACATACCTCTTCTTCATGGTCATCCTCAGCCCCGTGGGCACCTGCAGAAGCCCTCTGGCCAGTGCTCCCAGAAGGGCTGGAGTTGTCACCTTCGACGTCCTCTGTGGCATTTTGCATCATGGAGGCCTGTAGCTGTCAGCAAGCAAGGAAGCGAAGAACTAAATCCACCCTTAGAATTAGAACTACAATTTATTCTACATAAAATAAAGGTCATCATTAAATATTAACTATGTACCAAGCACTGTTCTAAACGCTATCACCCCATTTAGCCTTCATAATAATCTTTTCATTTAAGCACTGTTATCACCTCATTCTACAGAGAAGTAAACTACAGCACAGGAAGGTTAAGAAATGTACCCAAGATCACACAGCTCGTAAGGCTAGTTAGTGGCAGAGCCAGGATTCAAACCCAGGCAATCTGATTCCAGAGCATGTGCTTTTCTCTGTGGTGCTCTAGAATGTGTCAAATTAATCTGCCTTTATAGTAAATCAGTGCACGTACAAGAGTGTGTGTATATATGATAAAATAGTCCGTTGTACCTTCAACACAGCCTTATGACCCGAACAGCTAGATTTCTCTAGACAAATAAACCAGGAGAGATGAATGACTGCTACAATCTGAATGTTTATATCCCCCCTAATTCATACGTTGAAATCCTAACCCCCAAAGATGATAATCGAAGGTGGGACCTTTGGGAGGTACTTAGGTCATGAAGGTGGGGCCCTCATGAATGGGTTAGTGACCTTATAAAGAATTCCGCACACAACTCCCTTGCCACCTCCACCAGGTGAGGACACAGTGAGAAGATGCCGGCTTAGAACCGGGCGGGGGCTCACAACACTGAACATACTATGGAGCCTTTGATCTTGGACTTCGCAGCCTCCAGAAATGAACAATAAATTTGTTCTCTATAAGCCACCCCGTCTGTGGTATTTTGTTATAGCAGTCCAAACGGACTGACACAATGACTTTTTCAACACAAATACACTTTCTTAAAATAAAAACATCATTTTACAAAAACAGCCAAGAAAAAAATTCAAGGACAAAAAAATCTAGGTATAGTCAGCATATAATCTGGCTTGGTTTTATTCATGAATTTCTTTGTTTCTTAGAGTAAGGGAAGATGGTGGTGCAAAGGGAGAGGGGGAGAGGGAGAGAGAGAAAATTCTAAGCAGGCTCCACTCCCAGGATGGAGCCCAAAGAGGGGCTTGATCTCATGATCCTGAGATCCTGACCTCAGCCAGAGTCGGACATTTAACACATTGAGCAACCTAGGCTCCTTACCCTGAATTTGAATAGAATAGTTCTTTCAAGTCACTGTGAAACTTAATGTCCCATGTCCAAAGAGCTTCCTAGAATGATTTTATGGGTGGAGTATTACAAACTAGGCATTAAGGTATTTTTACCTTTCTTTCTTTTGATTTAAATTCAATTAGCCAACATATAATACATGATTAGTTTCAGATGTAGTGTTCAATAATTCATCAGTTGCACATAACACCCAGGGCTCACCACATCACATGCCCTCCTTAATGCCCATTACCCAGTTACCCCATCCCGCCCCCTTCCCTCCAGTAACTCTGTTTCCTATAGTCAAGAGTCTCTTATGGTTTTTCTCCCTCTCTGATGAATTCCCATTCAGTTTTCCCTCCCTTCCCCTATGATCCTGTGTGTGTGTGTGTGTGTGTGTGTGTGTGTGTGTATTCATTCATCTGTCAATAGATATCTCAGCTCTTTCTATAGTTTGGCTATTGTGGACATTGCTGCTATGAACATTGGGGTGCAGGTGCCCCTCTGGATCACTTCATTTGTATCTTTGGAGTAAATACCTAGTAGTGCAATTGCTGGGTGGGGTGGTAGGGTAGCTCTATTTTTAACTTCTTGAGGAGCCACCATGCTATTTTCCAGAGTGCCTGTACTACCCTTGCATTCCCACCAACAGTGCAAGAGGGTTCCCCTCTATCTACATCCTCACCAACATTTGTTGTTTCCTCTTGTTAACTTTAGCCATTCTCGCTGGTATGAGGTGGTATTGTTGTGGTTTTGATTTGTATTTCTCTGATGCCCAGTTATGTGGAGCATTTTTTCAGTGTGTGTATGCTGGTCATTCGTCTATCTTCTTTGGAGAAATGTTTGTGTTCTCTGCCCATTTCTTGACTGGATTATTTGTTTTGGGGGTGTTGAGTTTGATAAGTTCTTTACAGATTTTGGATACTAGCCCTTTATCTGATATGTCATTTGAGATTTCTTCTTCCATTCTGTAGTTGTCTTTTAGTTTTGTTGACTGTTTCCTTTGCTGTGCCCAGCTTTTTATCTTGATGAAGTCCCAATAGTTCATTTTGGCTTTTGTTTCCCTTGCTTTTAGAGATGTGTCTAGCAAGAAGTTACTGTGGCCTCAGAGGTTGTTGCCTGTGTTCTCCTCTAGTATTTTGATGGATTCTTGTCTCACATTTAGATCTTTCATGCATTTTGAGTTTATCTTTGTGTCTGGTATAAGAGAATGGTCCAGTTTCATTCTTCTGCACGTGGCTGTCCAATTTTCCCAGCACCATTTATTGAAGAGACTGTCCTTTTTACATTAGATATTCTTTCCTGCTTTGTTGAAGATAAGTTGACCATAGAGCTGAGGGTCCATTTCTGGGTTCTCTATTCTGTGCATTGATCTATGTGTCTGTTTTTGTGCCAACACCACACTGTCTTTATGATTAGAGTTTGGTAATATAGCTTGAAGTCTGCATTGTGATGCCACAAGCTTTGGTTTTCTTTTAACATTTCTTTAGCTATTCAGAGTCTTTTCTCATTCCATACAAGTTATTATTTGTTCCAGTTTTGTGAAAAATGTTGATATTTTGATAAGGATTGCACTGAATGCATAGATTGCTTTGGATAGCATAGACATTTCCACAATATTTATTCTTCCAATTCATGAGTACGGAATGTTTTTCCATTTCTCTGTGTTTTCCACAATTTCATAAGTGGTCTTTAGGTTTTAGAGTACAGATCCTTTACTTCTTTGGTTAGGTTTGTTCCTAGGTATCTTATGGTTTTTGGTGCAATTGTTAATGGTATAGATTCCTTAATTTCTCTTTCTTCTGTCTCACTGTTAGTGTATGGAAATTAAACTGATTTCTGTACATTGATTTTTATATCCTGCCATGTTGCTGAATTCCTGTATGAGTTCTAGCAATTTGGGGGTGGAGTCCTTTGTGTTTTCCACATGCTAGACACATCTCCAAAAGCAAGGGAAACAAAAGCCAAAGTGAACTATTGGGACTTCATCAAGATAAAAAGCTTCTGCACAGCAAAGGAAACAGTCAACAAAACTAAAAGAAAAACACAAAGGACTATCCAAAGGATAAAGTATCATGTCATCTGCAAAGAGTGAGAGTCTGACTTCTTCTTTGCCAGTTTGAATGCCTTTTATTTATTTTTTTAAAGATTTTATTTATTCATGAGAAAGAGAAAGAGAGAGAGAGAGAGAGAGAGAGAGAGAGAGAGAGAGAGGCAGAGACATAGGCAGAGGGAGAAGCAGGCTCCCCACAAGGAGCCCGATGTGGGACTCAATCCCAGGACTCCAGGATCATGACCTGAACTGAAGGCAGATGCCCAACCACTAAGCCACCCAGGCATCCCTCTTTTTGTTGTCTGATTGCTGAGGTTAGGAATTCCAGTACTATGTTGAACAACAGTGGTGAGAGTGGGCATCCCTGTTGTGTTCCTGACCTTAGGGGAAAAGCTCTCAGTTTTTTATCATTGAGAATGACATTTGCCATGGGCTTTTGGTATATGGCTTCTATGATATTGAGGTATGTTCCCTCTATCCCTACACTGGGGAATTTTAATCAAGAAAGAATGCAATATTTCATCAAAGGCTATTTCTGCCTCAATTGAGAGGATCATAAGGTTCTTGTCTTTTATTAATATGATGTATCATGTTGATTGGTTTGTAAATGTTGAACCACCCCTGCATCCCAGGAATAAATCTCACTTGATCTTAGTGAATAATCTCTTTAATGTTGGATCCTATTGGCTAGTATCTCAGTGAGAATTTTGGCATCCATGTTCATCAGGGATATTGGTCAGTAATTCTCCTTTTTTGGTTGGGTCTTTGTCTGGTTTTGGGATCAAGGTAATGCTGGCCTCAAAGAATGAGTTTGGAAGTTTTCCTTCCCTTTCTATTTTTTGAAACAGCTTTAGAAGAATAGGTATTAGTTTTTTTTTTTTTTTTTAATGTTAGGTAGAATTCCCCAGGGAAGCCATCTGGCCCTGGACTCTGGTATGTTGGAAGATTTTTAAGGACTGATTCAATTTCCTTGCTGATAATGGGTCTGTTCAGGTTTTCTGTTTCTTCCTGTTTCAGTATTGGTAGTTTATAAGTTTCCAGGCATGCATCCATTTCTTCCAGATTGCCTGATTTGTTGGCATATGGTTGTTCATAATATCTTAAAATTATTTGTCTTTCTTTGATGTTGGTCATGATCTCTCCTCTTTCATTCAAGATTTTATTAAATTGGGTCTTTTTTCTTTTTTGATAGTGATATCAGTAAACCCCTAGCCAGACTTCATTCTTTCAAAGAACCAGCTTTTAGCTTCACCGATCTGTTCTACTGTTCTTTTGGTTTCTATTTCAATGATTTCTGCTTTAATCTTTATTATTTCTCTTATCCTGCTTGGTTTAGACTTTATTTGTTCTTTCTCCACTCCTTTAGGTGTAAGTTTAGCTTGTGTATTTGAGACTTCTAATTTTTTTAGAAAGGCTTGTATTGTTGTATTCTTCCCTCTTAGAACCACCTTTGCTGTATCCCAAAGGTTTTGAACAGTTGCTTTTTCATTTGTTTCCATGATTTTTTAAGATTCTTCTTTAAATTACTTGTTGACCCATTCATTTTTTTAGTAAGATGCTCTTTAATCTCCAAGTGTTTGAGTTCCTTCCAAATTTCTTCTTGTGACTGAGTTCAAGTTTCAAAGCATTGTGGTCTGAAAATATTCAGGGAATAATCCCAATCTTTTGGTACCTGTTGAGACCTGATTTGTGATCCAGTATATGATCTTATCTGGAGAATGTTCCATGTACACTCGAGAAGAATGTGCATTCTGATGCTTTAAGATGGAATCCTCTGTGTATATCAGT